GGGGAACATTCGATTTAGACCGCGCCCCCCGGGGGTGGGGGTTATTGTTCCTTAAACAGCTGTTGGTGGTACTGGGCCCATAAAGGAGGAAGTGTAGTCGACGTCCACCGTTGCCTTGTTCAAGGCCAGCTACCCCAAGGTCATCCAATACCTCAGTCAGCGGTTTCAGACGCGCTGACCTGCGCACACTTGATCGACCTCCACTGGGATATACACGCATGCGTCCAGGTTGTCGCGGCTGCTCAAGCGTAACATGTCCCTTTCCCCCAACTTCGGCCGACGCAGCTTACGCCACCAGACGCCACGCCAACCGGTAAAGTCACACACACACACACCAATTGGAGAAAAGTTGAACCTGCTCCGCAATGCTACTTAAGTAGCTGCCACCACTGTCTCATTCTTTCTCAGGCCTGGCTGGACACAGTCAACACTAGCCCTGGTTTCGCCAGTGTTCATCGCCGCCTTAGACTGCAACTGGGACTTATGTTTACAATAAATCCATTTCACAGCTGACTTTGGCCTTCTGCCTTCCACTTGGTATTCGGCTTGATGTTTATAGTCATCCGAGGACAAACAATACTTGAACCACTACAGTATTCACTTTCATCGGTCGCCATGCTCCTTCATAAGCCTGTGAACTCCCTCTCGGGCCTATCCGGATGTGTATGCAACGTTACACGGTCGTAGCTCCCCAAACCTGTTCTTGAGTCAGTGGTCACTCGCCAATACGTACTTTGAGGGGAAAAATACACCAGAGGAAGGCAAAAGATGTGTCTTCTCACCCACTAAACTTGCCTGCGTCGTCTTGGGAGTGTCGGCGGAGAAAGCCGGTCATTGTGAGTTGTAGCATGTAAGCGGTAGGTGTACTCAGAAGACTGCGATCACCAGCCCAAATCCCCGATTTTTTTAAAAACCCAGAAGGCACCAGAATGAGGGGCTTGTTGTGCACAGAACCCTGCATTGCTGTCTCTGGCAGCAGCAGTGGTCACTGTCCTAGCCAGGCCTGAGAGAGAGAGAGAGTTGTGAGGCCGAGGTGGCGGCTGTCTTTCGTGTGATTGTGGAGCAAGTTAAAGTTGTGTGCAATTTGTGTGTTGTCCGAGGGCGATGTCGAGTATAGTGGCCCCTGCCATGTCGGCCGAGGGGTGGCATGTTCAAGTTCCCCCCAGCCATCCGCGGCCACTTAATTTTTTTAGAGAGCGAGAGAATACTTGCTTTATTTAAGATGAAAAATCCTGAACTTTCAGCACTAAAAATGGCTCCATTCACAGAGAGCAAAGGATAGGTTAAGTAATGGCTCATGGTAAAAGGTAAAAGGTCACAGCATACTTAAAATTAAAGGTTTACATGATATCCACATCTACTATGGAGACAGGTCAGCTTTCAACTTCTCAATTTCCGACCTAATTAAGGATGCGATCAACAAATTGCTTGACCGTTTTAAAGTTGCGCTGTATTATAGCGTCAGCTAAGAAAAAACATAGGAAACACCGGCAGCTGAAGAGCGCATTTGGAGGATACGTTTAAAAATGACTAGGTCTTTTTTTAGGTAAGGCTGGAAAAATAACTGAAGAGCAGTAAAGAATAATAGGAGAATACAGGCATCTATAAATCGCCAGATTAGGGCTTGCGGTGTGCGATATGAACGCGAACGGTAGATATAATAAAAAAAGGCCTTGAGTATGATGAGTAAATGAGAGGTTAGATGCCAGACAAACACCAAGGTACCGGTAAGGGGGATACCTCGTTGGGCAGAATGTCGATGGTTTCAGGACTGGGAGGGGGTCGCAGTCGAAAAATACACTAGACTGACTTCGCTGGTTAACTAGAAGGCCATTTGCTGACGACCATGTGCGTGCGTGCGTGCGTGCGTGCGAGGAAGTCGGCCAAGCGTCTTCAGGCCAGTGAGTTGGAAATAGTTGCATGCAAGGTCGTAATACCTTGGGGGCAGCGGGCATTGAACAAAGAAATTTGACTGTGTTATTGCCTGTCCGCCACAAGTTTAATGCAGTTCTCTCGGTGGTGTTACTTACACACGATAGATGTCAAATATCAACCGAAATTCTGAAATGCGTTTTCCATTTGAAATAAAGTAGAATTTTAATATTGGTTATCGTAAAGGTCTAATCCCAAGGTATTTCAGTCAAGTTAGCATACCGGCTTTTGAACGAGCTTCTCTCTGTCTGCAAAAAGCATACTCTGCAAGATGGTTACTTAAGTAGTTTGTGTGTGCGTGTGTGTTTTTCGATACTCTGCTAAATTCAAATATATTTTATTAAAAAACTTGCCCAATAATTTTGAAACCTCCTGGACGTTACGCTTTAATTCAAGGTTTCCAAACGACATACCGCATATATTCTAAGGAAAATGTGACATTTTTTCTACGGTTTGCGGAAGAGGTTACATAGTTCTACTAAAATTTTGCAATGGGGGTTGATCATGTTGCATACATTATAAGAAACATTCACAAAGTCGACGGGCCGAATGTATTATTACTAACTTTTTCGTAACAGGAGTCCCAAATTCGGGAGTGATACGAACCACTTTAACGCCAACAGCGCTACTGAAAGCCAAATTCGTTTATAATATAAGCAATTTCATGGAATAGCATCCTTTGGGAAATAGGTAGTTTATTGCGTAAATTTTCGACACTGGATC